AGCTGGCGTTAGAGGCAAACACTACCATACCTGGCCTTAAAAGTATCTTGAAAAAAACAAGAATAAAATTGCAGGACATCCTACATGGTTTCACAATTTTAGTACAACGCTCAACAATCAAAAGTCTACTACTGACATAAAGGCAGACATACAGACCAGGAATATAGAATTGGAAAGCCCAGAACTGCTCATGCACACTGGCCATGATTAATTAAAGATTAGTTGAAATGATCAATATGTGTATATATTGGGCACAGTTTTGCATATATATTATAGTGTGTGTCTTATCTGAGCAGTTGGCATAAGCAGCATTTCATCTGTCACTTTTTATGTTTGTTAAAAACATGCATTTCTGCTGGCTCTTTTGAATTAATTGGTGTGAAACAGAGTTGCCCTATTGAGTTACAGAAATTGGAAGGCAACTTGCTGTCCATCTGACCCTCTGTGACCAGATGAATTCTGATCAGGCTGCTGAGATTGTTCAATGTTGGATTAATAATCAGTTAAACAAGGGATGTTGGGAAGATGTAATATCCAGGTAAAAGAATGAAGTTAAGCCTTCACCTAACAACATATACAAATCAACTCTACATGGATTAAAGACCTAAAATGGTTCAGAGATGAAAGTCATCAGACTTTTAGGAGTCAGAAGGAAAGCACCTTGAAACTGGATTTCAAATGTTGTCTTTGTTATGATGACAGATGCATCATATGGGCCTTTTGGCTGCTTATATGTCTCTATGCCACATGCATGTTTGGTACCTGAGGAGGACAGAAGAGGGTGTTGAATTCCATGGAACTTCAGTTACAGACAGTAATAAGTTGCCATGTGGGTGGTGGGAATTGAATTCCTGTCCTTTGGAAGAGCTGCCAGGGCTCTTAACTATTGAGCTATCTTCCCAGTGACATAAACCACACACACACACACACACACACACACACACACACACACACACACACACACACACTATTACACATCACAAAAAAACGGTTACCAGAAAAAATGAGTCTTGTGCATGGAGGTCATGCTGTCAATGTTAGCATGAGGATAAGAAACTCAGTATATGGGCCACTAAGATGGCTCAGTTGGGAAGAATGTCTGCTGTACTTGCTCTCAGTACCTACCCCAACTGCCAAATAGTTCAATGAAACCTGAGTTCAATCTCCTGTCCCTGGATAACTGGTTCCCACAAACTGTCCCCTAAACTCCACACATTGGTGTGGGACAGGCACCCAAAATGAACAAATATGCAAACGTAGTAAGAAACTCCATACAGGTCCTTTCTATCTATGGATTTTATATTTATGGATCGATACCTTGGAAACAAACTACTTGGAAAAATATGCTTACTGAAAAGTGTATTGTTTCCTCCTATCATGGTCCTGTACTCAACACAGTAAGACTAGTGTCTATGCAGTATTCATATTAGGTATTGGAAATAATCTAAAGAAGTTTTGAATGTGTGTGGGGTGTGTGTGTAGAGAAACATGAATATTTTACGACATTCTGAGGTTTGACTGTGTTCTGACTCAGACACTAAACTCTTAATCACTTTGCATTTGTATTTGCTATATTGACATTTATTGTTGTTATTACTGACAGGATCTCACTGTAATCTAGGCTGGCCTTGTATTTCTGTTTTTATAGAGAGATTTTCTATTCATTTCACATACCAACCACATATTCCCCTGTCCTGCCTCCTCCGGCCCCCAAATGTTTCCCTCCAATCCAACCCCGATTCCCACCTCCTCCAAGGCAAGGTCTCCCATGGGGAGTCAGCAGAGCCTGGTCCATTCAGTTGAGTGGCCTTGTACTTCTATGCCTCCTGCTTCATGCTCTCTCCCTTTTGAGACAGGGTCTCACTATGTAGCTCTGACTAACCTGATACTGGCTACAAAGACCAGGGTGGTTGGGAACTCATAGAGATCCAACTGTCTCTGCCTCTGGTGTGCTGGGGTTAAAGGCATGCAGAACAGTGCTCACTTTGCTTGGTGTTGTATCATGAGATTAAGATGCATCCATCACCAAGCTGGCTGTATTTGTAACTTGACCCATGTTTTTCTCCCTGTGACTTTGACCCATTCTGCACTCTGTTGATAAAGAAACTGCTCCCACCCCCAAAGCTGTGGAGTAACAAGGGAGGAGAGGTCACTCACCTATTATGTCCAGCTGGAGGGGGTGACTCTTCTCACCACCGAGTGGATTGGATACCTCACACTGATAATACCCAGAATCTTGCCTCCTGGCAGGGACTATTTGGAGGGTGCTGTTGTTCTGAGTCAGATTCATCCTATTCATGATCCTCACCCTCTGGCCATTGAAGAACCATTTAATGTAGTTATCAATGTCGATTGACAGGCACTTCAGAAATACAGAGACCACATCTTTGTCTATGGTTTGGTTGACTTGGATGGAGGGTGTAGTCACTGGATCTGTGGATAAACAAGGGATGGGGCCAGCTGAGAGTACGTCACCTTCAGAGATCTCAGACAGCTCCCAGGGTCCTTAGAATGAAGTGGCCCTGTGCAAGATCACATGTTTGGGTTGAAGATATGTTCTGCAAGAAGAGAGCTGAATCTTACTTCATCAAGATCACTCACAGTGACCCTGACTAGGGGTATTTGTGTAGATTCCACACTAGGAGCCTCTTCAACCCACATGTCCAGAAATCTAATGGGGGGGAATGTATTTCCCAATGATATTTGTGAGGATTCTTGCTCACAGTTTCTGTGAGTGTGAACAGTCAGGTCTCTCTTTCATGAAATGGCCTTCTGTTTCTTTTTTATTAAATAATTTGTTATGGGGTTAAAATGGCCCAGCTAATCTTAAAGGTGTTAAAGGCTAGATCTCAGGACTGGGAGAAATCCCTTACTGAAGAATTTCTGTTTGTAGAAAAATTGTATTTCCTGACCCATGGATATGGATTAAATACTACAGAGTAGAAGTGAATAATCACAGTGCTGACCACAGCCTGCCACTCTAATGCTGAGTACTGATATTTTTGAGACAGGGTCTCACTGTGCAGTCCTAGCTTGCTTGGAACTTCCTATGTAGACCAGGCTGGGCTCAAACTCACACTGTCTACTTGTTCTCCCTACTCAGTGCTGGCATCAAAGGTGTATGCCACCACACTCAGCCAACATTTGTTTTTTGAACCTTGAGAAGAGTAAGCAAAAGAGCATCATCAACTGTCAGTGACATGGTTCACCCTGACTCAGAACATGGCTCCCAGGCATCTTCTCAACCCACTCTTCCCATCCCATGGAGTCAGAACTGAGTCAGCCACCCCACCCATGAGACAGGAACAGACCTGGGAGCAGAGGTCTAGTCCCCATCTGTGGGGATTATTCTCCTCCAATTTGGAGAATAAGAATGGGAGCACACAACCACACCACAAGAGCACTTGTTCAGCTATGCTCATATCAGCATTGTTTGTAATAGCCAGAACATGGCAACAACCTAGATGCCCTTCAACTGAAGAATGGATAAACAAAATGTGGTACATATACACAATGGAATATTACTCAGCAGAGAAAAACAATGACATGGATGGATCTAGAAAAAATCATCCTGAGTGAGGTAACCCAGACTCAGAAAGACAAACATGGTATGTACTCACTCATAGCAGGATACTAGATGTAGAACAAGGATAAGTGGACTGCTACTCACATCACCAGGGAGGCTACCTGGAAAACAGGACCCCAAGATAGACACGGGGATCGCCCAATGACAGAGATATGGAATGAGATCTACATGAACAGCCTGGACATGAGTGGGGGTAGTGACGGGCGAAGGTCGAGGGAAAGAGAGCTTGGGGGAGCGGGAGATCCCAGCTGGATCAACAACAGAGAGGGAGAACAAGGAATAGGAGACCATGGTAAATGAAGACCACATGAGAATAGGAAGAAGCAAAGTGCTAGAGAGGCCCACAGAAATCCACAAAGATACCTCCACAATAGACTGCCAGCAATGGTCGAGAGACAGCCCGAACTGACCTACTCTGGTGATGGGATGGCCAAACACCCTAATTGTTGTGCTAGAAACCCCATCCAACTACTGAGGGATCTGGATGCAGAGATCCATGGGTAGGCCCCGGGTGGATCTCTTGGAGTCCAATTGGCGAGAATGAGGAGGGTTTATATGAGCGAGAATTGTTGAGACCAAGGTTGGATAAAGCACAGGGACAAATAGCCAAAGGAATGGAAACACATGAACTATGAACCAATGGCTGAGGGGTCACCAACTGGATCAGGCCCTCTGAGTGGGTGAGAGAGTTGATTGGCTTGATCTGTTTGGGAGGCATCCAGGCAGTGGGACTGGGTCCTGTGCTCATTGCATGAGTTGGCTGTTTGAAACCTGGGGCCTATGCAGGCTCGGCCTGGGAGGAGGGGACTGGACCTACCTGGATTGAGTCTACCAGATTGATCTCAGTCCTCGGGGAAGGCTTTGCCCTGGAGGAGATGGGAATGGGGGCGGGCTGGGGGGAAGCTGAGGGGGACGGGAGGGTGGGAGAACAAGGGAATCTGTGGCTGATATGTAGAACTGAATTGTATTGCAAAATAAAAATTAAAAAAAAAAGAATGGGAGCACAGTTGAAAGCCCTGGGTGTTCCTTGTAGGTCATGGAGGTCATAAAGTAAAACAGGAGGGGACAGGAAAGCTTGTGTTAGGCACAGAAAGAAATCATGACCTTGAAGCTCTCCTAATCTTGGAAAGACCCTCCACTACCAAAGGCTTTCCAAGACTGGGAGAACCTCCTCCTCACATTGCAAGCTCCATCCCTATTAGCCAGAAACCAGAGAACCAGGAGGCCATTAGACATAGGGATGGAGCAGGAGAATTGGGGGAAGACTGAGTTTTGCTTGTTTCCATAGACATGGGCTGGAAATTAAATGCTTCTGCACATTCCCAGAAAACTAAAAGACTCTACTCCAAACTTGGTGCTGATATTTCAGAGATCCACTTACTAAGAACTGTAATGTTCTTGACTGTGGACTTACAGAGGACAGTGACAGTTATAGATGAGGCAGGTATAACATCCACTCTTATTAGTATTGATGTTGGGAACATAGAGCTCTTGGGAGAATGACTGGAGCTCTCCATTGACAAACCAAGAGTACTGTGCAGGTGGGTTAGCATCTGTGTGGCAGGAGATGTGAGGTTTCTCCTTCAATGGAAATGAATACTTAAGGGGGATATGATCAGGACATCTGGACCATCTGGAGCAAACAGAATAAAGTCACACATGATGTCAGTAGAGGGAAGGGGAAATCCTGGTCTGTAGAAGGACATAGTATCTCTTTGAGCTGTGCTTTTACCTTAGTTGAGCAGGTCCTACCCAGACCTGGCATGCAGATTAGCAGAAGAGTACTAATTCAGCATGCACAAGCCCTGATCTATCTCAAGCACAAAACACAAACATCCCCAATGCACTCTCTTGTGTACACTGAGCCTGAGCCTCACATGAACCCTGTCTCCATTACCCTGAGCCTCTCTAGGCATGAGAAGTCCCTGCAGCCCATTTAAGCTCAATGCTGGGCCTGTCCACATGTGCTTGGGTGGAACAGGATGCCCTGGCAGCCTAGGTATCTGTATGGTAGGTCTGTGTCATGAACCCAAGGGGACTGGAACTGAGTATGGTAGATCTAGCCCTCTGTATTTAGGCAGTTGGGACCAGGATGAAACAGAAAATATTAAAGTAATGTTCAGAGGGACTTGCGGAATCCCTCACTGGGTTCCAGGTACACATTCATAGGGTCCTGTGTCAGTCCTCACAACACTGAGTAAAGTGAGAGTCCTGTTGTCCTCAGACAGCTTCAGCCTGTCCTCTTCTGAGAGGCTTTGGCCATTTATCCTCCACAGGTAGGCTGTATTCTGAGTCTCAGGCTCACACATTAATGCTACTGAGTCCTCACCCTCCATGGGATTGGAATTGTTGGTTGTGATGGTGGGCTTCGGTAGCAGTGCTGTGCTGACCACAGAGAGATGATTACCCTGTGTGGTACTTCTGATTCTTGCAAAGTCCTCTTATGACCAGAGACAGTCTTTTAACTTCCAGCCAACCCAGATCCTTAAAGAATCAGGCAGGAAGCAAATTACAGGCAGATGGAGTGGCTGAGTACTCAGATAATTGGGCCTCCTGTGCTGTGTGTGGGAGCAGAAAAGACTTTCTCATGAGAGAACTGAGCTGCAGTGTTTGGTGATGGTCAGACTCAAGACTTGGAATCAGAGACCTCATTTGATCTCCTGGTCCTCACTGACCCATTGCCTGCCATGGGACACAAGGTTTGAGTTCCTCCAACTACACTGACCTCTCTTGCTCAGTTTAAACCAGAGCCCTCCCAGCCTTTGCTGTTCAGGGCTGTCCTACAGACAGGTTATGATTAGTCTTCCAATTGTGCTTAACTGAGAAACATGACAGCCTGTCAGAGATCTCACACAGCTCAGGATCTGGCTGACACTTAGGTCAGGCTTGGACACAGGTGGGCTATTCTTGTCAGGTGTATGATGTTGATTGACATGAATCAGGGAGTCCTGATTCCAAGAAATGGTCTAGAAGAATGAAGGTACCTAGTTCCATTTCCATGGTGGGCAGGCTGAAGATGTGGCTGTGAACAGATAGCTTGTGCTATCCACAACCTGAGTGACCCTGACTCATTGACTGTGTTTCCTGTGTCAGTTTTCCTATAATAGGACACATGGTAAATGATCATTGCCGTGCCTGCAAGTTAACCTTAGATGTGAACAACAACCTGACCTTCCACCAAGCAGTGTCTATTAGTGTTTGCCTGCAGGAAATAATCCCTAGGCGGGACCCCAGGAGGGCAAGGAGCTGCCATTTGTACACTTTTTCTTCTATCTCTTTAGGGCTCTTGGCCTTCCTGGGAGGTCTCAGAAGACCATCAGAAGAGCTGGCTGACTGCCTTTCCTACCTCTCCACCTATGCTGAGCACACTGAGTCTCAGGAGGAGATGCCCAGGTGACCTACCTCAGACATGGCTCTCAGAGGCTGACGGTCAGCAGGCTCCCAGTCTACAATCCATCATCGTCCCCTGTCAGCTCCAACAGGAGATCAAATTCCAACCCAGTCTACAAGCTTCTCAGCATTGCTGGACCAGTCTGGTAGGAGTTCTTGAGCAAAGCTACTGGGGGGTCATCTCTCTGTGAGACACTTATGGTTTCCTCAGCCTGGCCCTGCCAGAGTCCTGAAGGGTCTTCCTCAAGGCCATGGTCATGATGAGCATCTAAGACCGTGGGCAGAGTCTAACATGCCTGAGCTCAGTTACCTCACCCTCTCTTCTCTGAGGGTGGATTCAAGTGGGGCATCCTGATTTAATGCCATTTTTCTCCATTGTGTGTCCTTTACTAAATGTTTGTATCACAATGTGGGGACCATAACACAGAATCTTCCAGGAATGACAGCTCTATAGATGAAGTAGGATTAGTTCTACCCATGACCCAGAGGTTACAAGGAATGACTTACGGTATACATACAACTCCGTGGATAGATAAATATTAGTAAGGTTTTCAAGTGTCACTCTTGCTTTGTAGACTCCTTTGTCAACCTTACTGACATTATTGATGAGCAGGGATTTATTGTCGTACATAATTGCTTTACCATTTAATTGATGTCCATATGATGTGGTATTCGTATTTGTAAAATGTGAGGCTATTAGGTTCTTCAGTAATATGTCTGTCTTGTACCAGTTCATGAGCTGGTATTTATTCGGCAGACCGTGGACAACTAGAAGACAGTTATTCCCTACAGCAACAATGGGTGGAACTGCTTCAACAGTGATGTTATACTCTTGGGCAGTAGTGGCAGAGTTCCAGTAGTTTAAAAGAGAGACTAAGAAAGAAGAGAGAAAAAAAATCTATCAATAATAGGAACTTTCCTTTTGGTAGAAATTTGAGTGTTTTAAACTCCTGTTGAGGGAGGTCAGCAGCATCACCCCCATTCATCAGTACCCCTGAATTTTTCCACTGTATGAAACTGGTTTCATAGTGTCTACACAGCTCACCCCTCACTGCCCTCAGATCCCTACTCATACTCAGAATCTATGGTGAGTGTAGGCATGTCCTGTCTGACCTCCTCCTCCAAAGACTCTGTGCCTTCATTTTCTGACCTTTCCCTGCTCTGTTTCTTCTGAAGTGCTTGTCAACCCCTGGGCCCACCTTCTAGATGTCCTTGCTGCTCTATCTTCCTGCCCAGTAGTAGCAGGGCTTTGTGAGGAAGACTAGTTTGATTTTGGTTTAAACCTCTCTACCTTGAACAGGCTCAGATACCTGTGAGCAAATGAGTGTCCCAGATCCTGAGGTTTATTTGCAGATTTCTCAGGGTCCTATGTAATGAGGCTGTTGTTTACTCGCCCACTTTGAGTTTTACTCGGAGCATCACCCTGATGGAGTTGCAAACTTGAGTCTTCTGGATACAGTGGCCAGTGCTGATAATCTACAAATGGTGAACAACTGAGTTTTTCTTCCCCACTTCCCAGTTCCCATCCACTCTGAGCTTTCTGATGGTCCTAGGCTTCAAGCAGAGCCAGATGTCATTTCTCAGGCTCTTTCCCTCTCCCAGAAGACCCCATCCAGTCTCTGAGCTCCCCAATTCTCTATTCCTGAGGAACGTCTCCTCACCTGTAAGCAGGAGTCCCCTCCAGAAGACCTGTCCTTTGTGGAGAAGGGCTGAGGTGAGCTCCATAGTCTCTGCTGTGGCCTAGGCTCTTCCTCTGGAGAGGAGGTTTGTCTCTTAGGCTGCTGCCAAGCTGGGCTCCTCTGGTGTCTGCTCTGCTTTTATTCCCAGACCTCAGCCTCCTCCCAGAGGAGGGCACTTCCTGGAGTCAGATGTGCTAGGGGTGGAGGCTGTGTGTGAATATTGTTCTGTTCTTCTGTGAGTGCTGCCTCCCATCCTTCTGTTCCTTTGTTGTTCAGTGTTCTAGAACATACTTTGAGCCAAAATGCTGAGAATTGTCCCGAGAGAACAGCAGCTCACCCCAGGGCCTTGTCCATGAACTTCCTAGAGCCAAGAGCGTATTTCCTTGAGACCCCAAAAACCTAGCAGAGCCCCGTTTGCCCTGTGAATCAATGCTCAGGGAAGGTGGGATTTATTCCCAGCAGAGAGTGGCAGTCTACTCTAGGGGCAGGAAAAGATCCAGCTGAGTGATGACTGTGGAGGGTCCAGACCTGTCATCACCAGTGTCACCAATCATGTGTCTGATGAAGGAATACATGTTATCTCAGGGGTTCATATTCTGGTGTGCAGGAGAAGGTCACCTGTGTTTCCTAGGAAGAGGACCCTGTGCTCCAGTTTCTTATGGAGGGCATCAGGGAGGCTCCTCCACCCGCAGCTTCCTTCGCTGGCTGAATGTGATTCAGGTCTGCCCATGCCCTCCCTGACCTTCTGGGTTGTCTTTGCTCTCCTTGGTGATTGCCCTGCGATCTCCCTGTCTTTCCTCATGTATGATGAGAGGAGGGAGGGGACTACATAGGGTCTCCTTGCAGAGTGGGGTCTCAGTGACACAGGGAATGGTTATGTGAGGGAGCTCCAGGTCTGTTGGAACTGGGATGGAAACAAGGCTGCAAGATAGGTTCACACCTCAAGGAGAGTTTTCCCTGTTGAATATGTGTTTTTTTGTCGCCCCCTGTTGTTCATGAGGAGACCTGCAGCTCATATTAGGGCTACTACAAGGATGGTAGCCAAGCTCCAAATGCTGGAATGAAGCTGAGCACCAAGTTCCCTGAGGTCCCAGTGAGTAGCCGCCTTGAAGATCTAGGTAGGTTTTTGCTGGAGACCAAAATAGCTGAGATAAGACTCACTGTCATTTTGGTCTGCAGTTCCAGGAAGACTGATGATGTTGAGCCCCCTTTCCATGTGTTTTTATTAGATTTTTTTGTACATCTTAATCAGGGTAGGAATATCCAAGCCCTTTGCTAACTCTAAAATAGTTTTATTACGACTTTAAATTTTAAAGCAAAGTACATTCATTCACTAACAATAACACATTCTAGACTTACAACATAAAATGAAAACCAAACCAAACACTGCAAACTTTTCATTGTTGGTAATTTCTGGTGTGTTAGTCTTTGAGATTCTGGGGCAGTAAGTCAGCATTCCCTGGAATTTTAAAAAATTCCCCAATTATGATGATTTAAGCATACTTTGGAAGCCTTCACTCACTGTAATTGTTATAGCTGGATTTCTTGTTTAAAGAATAATGCACCTTAAGTTTGTAGCACCTAGAAGAACTGCATTGTACAGGGACATTTACAAGATGAAAAAAAATAACTTCAAATTTGGGTTCCCAGTAAGGTGGCAGCACAGAGTTACAGGTGGATATTGCTTGTTAAAACCCTGTTTTATATCAAAACTGTGTTCCATGTTGAGAGAGCAAAAATTCAGAGGACCCACATAAAGTACAGTATGTATGTGAACTCATTAGGAAGCATTTTGTCTCTGTAAAATTTCCCTTTCATGTTCCTTCTCCTATAGGTTGTACTGCATATTTAATTACACGTGTACATGCATACATTATATAGGCTAGGATCCACACACAAGAAAGAACATGTGGTTTTTTCCCCTGAGATTGGGTGATCTCATTTAACAGTATACATTCTAAGTCTATCCAGTTTCCTGTACATTTTGTGATTTCATTTTTCTCTAGAGATGAATAATATTTCATTTGGCACATGTACTAGACTTGCATTATGCATTCATCTGTTGATGGACATCTAGATTGGTTTTATCCCCTTGCTATATTGAATAGAGCAGTAACAATCACGGGGTGCCAATATCTCTATGGTAGGATACAGGATCTCTGGGTATATGCCCAGTAAAATAGCTGAGTCTAGTTGTATTTTCTAACGTTTTGAGGGACTTCCACAAGCTCTATATAATGACTCTATTAATTTTCACACCCACCAGCAGTGAATACATGTTCCTCTTTCTCCACATCCTCTGCTATATTTGTTGTCAGTTATTTTGATTATAGCCAGTCTACCTGGGGTGAGCTGGCATCTCACAGTAGATTTAATTTGCATTTCCCTGATGACTAGGGATCACTTTTTTCCTGAGTTGTATCAGTTATTTATTCTGATACAACGAAAGCTGTACTGTATATAAGACTTACAAGTATGCTTTTCTGTTCTGTAGGTTGTCATTTCATCAACTGATCATCATTGAAGGAAGTCAGGACAGGAACTCAAATAGGGCAGGAACCTGGGGGCAGGAGCTGATGCAGAGGCCCCGGAGGGGTGCTGCTTACTGGATTGCTCCTCATGGCTTACTCAGGCTGCCTTCCTATAGAACTCAGGCCCACCAGCCCAAGATGGCTCCACCCACAATGGGCTGGGTCCTCGCCCATCAAGCATTAATTCAGAAAATGCTCTTCAGGCTGCCTACAGCCCAAACTTTTTGTTGTTGTTGTTTTTAGTTTTTTTCATTTATTTTACATACCAACCACAGTTTCCCCTCCTTCCTCACTTCCCATTCCCTCCCCTCCCCTCCCATCCTCCCTCACATCCATCCCCTCCTCCTCCATCCAGAAATGGACAGGCCTCCCATGGGAGTCAACAAAGCATGACATATCAAGTTGAGGCAGGACTTAGTTCCTCCCCATGCATCAAGGCTTTCAAGGCATCCTAGCATGGGGAATATGTTCCAAAATGCTGATCCCACTTCTAGAGGCCCCACAAACAGACAGAGCTACACAACTGTTACCCACACACAGAGGGCCTAGGTTGGTCCCATGCAAGCTCCCTAGCTGTTGGTCCAGAGTCTGTGAGCTCTTACTAGCTTGTTTCCGTTGTCTCTGTGGGTTTCCACATCATGATCTTGACCTCCCCTGCTCATACAATCCTCCTCACTCTCCTCAACTGGACTCCTGGAGCTTGGCCCAGCTGTTTACTGTGGATCTCTGTGTCTTGTTCCATCATTTATTAGATGCAGGCTCTCTGATGACAACTAGGGTAGTCACCACTCTGATTACAGGAGAAGGCCATTCAGACCCCCTCTCCACAATTACTAGTGTCTTAGCTGGGGTCAGCCTTGTGGATTCCTGGGAGTTTCCCTTGCACCAGATTTCTCTGTAACCCCCAAACGGCTCCTTTACTAAGATATCTCTTTCATTACTCTCCCCCTCCATCCCATCCCAGCTCAACCAATTTGATCACTCATGCTCCCATCCCTCCATCATTTTCCTTCTTTCCCACTGCCCCCACTCCCAGTTTACCCAGGAGATCTCATGTATTTCCCCTTTCCAGGGAAATCCATGTTTCCCTCTTATGGTCCTTTTTGTTACCTAGCTTCTCTGGGGTTGTGGATTGTAGCCTGGTTATCCTGTGCTTTACATCTAATATCCACCTGTGAGTGAGTAAATACCATGTTTGTCTTTGAGGGTCTGGGTTATCTCACTCAGGATGATTTTTTTTTCTAGTTCCATTCATTTGTCTGCCAATTTCCTGATGTCATTCTTTATTACTGTTGAGTACTTTGTTGTGTAAATGTACCACATTTTCTTTATCCATTCTTTGGTTGAAGGGCATCAAGGTTGTTTCTAGGTTATGGCTATCTCAAAAAAATGCTTCTATGAACATAGTTGAGTGAGTGTGGTGTGAAGATTGAGCTTCCTTTGGGTATATGTCCAAAATTGGTATATCTGGGTCTTGAGGTAGATTGATTCCCATGTTTCTGAGAAACCCTCATACTGACTTCCAAAGTGGATGTACAATTTTACACTCCTACCAGCAGTGGAGGAGTGTTTCCCTTACTCCACATCCTCTCAAATACGGGCTGTCATCAGTGTTTTTGATTTTTGCCATTCTGAGAGGTGTAAGATGGTATCTCAGAGTTGTTTTGATTTGCATTTCCCTGATGGCTAAGGATGTTGAACATTTCCTTAAGTGCTTCTTGACCATTGAAGATTCTTCTGTTGAGAATTCTCTGTTTAGATCTGTATCCTATTTTTAAATTGGATTATTTCGTATTTTGATATCTGTTTTTTTTTGTGTGTTCTTTATATATTTTGGAGATCAGCCCTCTGTCAGATGTGGGGTTGGTGAAGATCTTTTCACATTCTGTAGGCTGTTGTTTTGCCTTATTGACCATGTGCTTTGCCTTACAGAAGCTTTTCAGCTTCAGGATGACCCATTTATTAATTGTCGATCTCAGTATCTGTGCTACTTGTGCTATATTCAGGATGTTGTCTCCTGTGCCAATGCATTCAAGGCTACTTCCCACTTTCTCTTCTATTAAGTTCAGTGTCACTGGATTTATGTTGAGGTCTTTGATCCACTTGGATTTGAGTTTTGTGCAGGGAGATAGATATAGATCTATTTGCATTCTTCTACATGTGAACATCCAGTTATGCCAGCATCATTTGTTGAGATGTACAGCCGGATCTCATGGAGGTATTTTCTCAACTGGTGTTGCCTCTTCTCACATGACTCTAGCCTGTGTCAAGTTGACATAGAATTATCCAACACACATACTAAATCTGACTAAACTAAAGGTCAATACTCATCACAAAATCAACCTTAGCATTTTATATGAAATTTTTCTAGAATTTAAAAGCAAATTAATTTTTCACATTTGAAAATCTTTAAAAATATTTTTATTTATTTATTTTTTATTTATTTTGCAATACAATTCAGTTCTACATATCAGCCACGGATTCCCTTGTTTTCCCCCCTCCCGCCCCCCTCACC